TGAGAATTTAAGTTTGATCCTTAGAGTCTCTGTTTTAAAAAAAAAAAAAGCCAGGCACGGTGGCACATGCTTGTCATCCCAGATGGGGAGGAGAATTGAAAGTTCCCTGGGGCTTACAGTCAGCCTAGCCTAATTGGTCAGGTCTGGTCCAGTGAGAGATCCTCTCTGAAAAACAAGATAACTCCTGAGTTTGCCCTCTGACCTACACACACACACACACACACACACACACACACACACACCTCCCTACATAGGGGACCTCTCTGGGTTTGCTTTATTACTATGATAAACAGCAAGATCAAAATCAACACAGTGGAAACGGGTTTAACTGAAATAAAATGAGATGTGATCTACTAAAGTCTAAATCAAGCCTGTCAAGTTGAAAGCATTCAACAATGCATCAAATTGTTTTGTTTTGTTTTTTTGAGACAGGATTTCTCTGTTTCGCTGTGGCTGTCCTGGAACTCACTGTGTAGACCAGTCTGGCCTCGAACTCAGAAATCTGCCTGCCACTGTCTTCTAAAGGATTAAAGTTGTGCACCACTACCGCCTGACACCACTTCAAATTGTTATAAGCTATTGATGTATTTATTTACTACATTCTACAAGTGTGATGTTGATGTATGGTCAGTACATTTAGCTTTGGGGATTACACAGAGAAAGCTAATGTTTTGGAGGAAAAGAAGACTAAAACAATTTGGGTTTGCGAGCTACATAGAATTTTGTCGCGTGAAGTAACAATTTTAGGTCCAAGAAACAGCTTCTGTCAAGACCCCATGTTCAGGATTATTGGTGGTCGGTTATTCCCAAAGCCATGATGAAATTGCCAGAAACGTCAATGAGGGAGATACCTCTAGAGTTTGGGAGCTCAGCCACAAAGCGGGGGCCTAAAGTCCTCCCATGAGGGGTTAGATACAGGCTCAGGAGTAGAGTCCTTGCCTAGAATACCTCAGCGGGGTAGGAGTGTGGCTCATCAGCAGAGCACTGGTTTACCATGTGTGAGGCCCTGAGTTCAGTCTCCAGTGATTGAGCTGAAATGTGAATTCTACAGCTTCTCTATGCTAAACGCTTCGTTTTGTCTCAGAGGAGGTAAATAGTGTCCCTGAAGGTAACTGAGGCCATCCTCTAGCCTGCACACTCATGTGTAAACACACATTAAACTAAGGGCTGATGTACATCTGTGTGGAATTTTTCTTTTTTTCTTCTTCTTTTTAGGGATTTTTCTTAAGTAATTTGAAGTGGGAAGACCCACCTTAATCCAGATCTTTTGAGGTGAGAAGATCCACCTTGAGCCTGGCCCACACTTTCTGGTAGCAGCCTATGTAAAGGGCATGCCTGCCTGCGCCCACGCTTGCTGGCAAGTCCATTCCTTCACTGGCACTAGAGCCTCCTCGTTCAGGATTCTGGCCTTATTCTGAAGACCAGCTGAGACAGGCAGCCTTGGGACGGAACCACTGGATTGACTTTCCTTAGTTCAACAGCCATTATTGAACAAGCTGCACCACAGCCTCTAAGTCACTCTAATAAATCATGTATGTATGTATGTATGTATGTATGTATGTTTTATTCCTCTAGAGAACCCTGACTAATACACAGGTGAATTTCCAATGCCATACTTAGAATTCTCCTTGCCCCAGGGAGAAAGTGGCAGGAACATGGGAAACGGAGACCTCTCAGGTAAGTCTTGGGCTCTCCCTGTGGTACTGCCTTCTGATCACCCTGCACACCCCAGCCCACCTCAGCACACACACACACACCCCAACTCCACTGCTAACAGTAAACATGCCCCCTAGGAGGCCCGCAGTTCCAGGAACCCCTTCCATCTCTGCAACTCCTTGGAGTTGCAAGCTAGCTTCAAGCCTCCCCCCAGCCTCAGCCTCTCTCAATTCACCCCGCCCAGGCTCAGAGGTGCAACCGCACCCTCCCCCAAACTCCTCCCGCCCTCAATTCGGAACCGGCACGCAGCGGCTCAGCCCTCCCAGGCTTTCGCCTTGCTGCTCCCGGGGCCCCTAGCTTGCGCATCTTGTCAGCGTCTTCAAGCAGCCCCCGCAGGTAGGGAAAGGCGGGCCTGTGAATCTGTGACCGCCCGGAACGCGGAGGAAGGGGGGTGCAGCAGTAGCCGGCGGGAGCTCGGTTGCCCGGGACCGAGTTGGGGATTCCTTTGTCTGCAGCCCGGCAGCCCCTGGCCCAGCCCCCTTCCCCTCTCCACTATCCACTGGGCGCGCTCTTGTAGGGTGCCGGGAAACCCCGTACTCCACCGGAGGACCTGGGTTTCCAGTTTCTGATCCGCAGGTGAGGGCGGGGCCGAGCACCACCCTGAGGCTCCAAGAAGGTTCTGTAGCTTTGGCACTGGTAGCTGGAGGTCGCTGCCCTGAGCACTCTCAGGGGTGCCTCCTTCCTGAGACTCCCTTGTTCTCGCTGAGGCAGCGGCGGAAGCTGCAGGGAGGGGTCGGGGTGGGGGGAGCGCATCTGCTTGCCTTTGAGGCAACTTACTCACTCAGCTAATCTTGGGGACCTAGAGCTTGGAAGTAAGGAGGGTCCGGTGAGTTTCTCTCTCTCTCTCTCTCTCTCTCTCTCTCTCTCTCTCTCTCTCTCTCTCTCAT